TAGCAGTTCTCTATGACCTGCTTCAGAAACAAGATAGGTTCATAGGCACTTGATGCTTAATCCAAGATTCACAAACATCCTATCCTCTCTGTCTGTAATCTACCATCCAAAGAACTGTGTGCAATTTCTTTCAGCCATTTGAAAATTTTCCCACTGCAGAATTATAGTCCATCCTATAATTAAGCTATATTTGATCTCCTTCACATGTTTTTCTAAACTATGGTATGTTGATTTAGCTACAGCTTGCCGAGTTCCTCATGTCATGAACCAGGACTTATAAAGTACAACTCCAAAATAAGCATCTTAGAATAATGGGATGTGTGAAGCCAAGTGAATGTGTGGGTTTTCCGTTGATTATACTCAGTATGTCTGGTGCTTTTCTAAGTTCAAATAGATAAAAAGAAATCCAATTTAAGAATCAATGCCATAATTCTCTAGGGGCCTAGTCTAACCTAACCACCCACTTGTACGTTCCCCGTGTTTCAATTTAGGAAACTACAATGTGAAAGTATAACTATCCAGACAATTAGAAACAATGATACAATAAGAGTCCTAATAGTGCCCAGTGTCTTAGGAACAATAATAATTACAATAATTGGTACTGATAGATTACACCTGTGGAAATGAAGGCAGTAGTTTACTTTAAGTCAAACAGTTGAAGGAAAAGGAAGCATGCATTGACTGATCATATAAAAGACAGCCAAGAATAAACGACACATGCCAAGTTCCATAAAGTTCCAAGGTTCTAAGTTTCAAAACAGACATTTTTAAATTCCTCCTGAGCTAGAAGGTAAACAGGTAAACCAGTTCACCTGTTCAATGGTGACAATACAGCATTAACAGAGAACACTTTTGTTGAAAGACTAGGACTCCACCCTTGTGTGGAAAGAACCCTGAGCAACCAATTTGGATCATACATTACCTATTCTCCTCGACCAGGGGTAGGCAACCTTGGCTCCTTTATGACTCGTGGACTTCAACTCCCAGAATTCCTGAGCCAGCCTGGAGTTGAAGTCCACGAGTCATAAAAGAGCCAAGGTTGCCTACCCGTCCTAGACCTAGGATAATGCAGAAGTAAATGTTTTTAAAGTTTAAATTAGAGCTGTACTGACAACCACATCCAACTCTTTCTCAAATTACATATTTTGGGACAGCAAATAACATACATACCCTGATCTGAGCCACAAGAAAGGTCATAAATTAACCACAAGTGAAGAAAGCTGCAGTTAATTTGGCTAAGTGCTTGAGAATCACTGGAGCAGCGGGGATTAAAAAAATAGTTTAATGAAGCAAAAAAACCATTGCATAAAGAATTGGACCATTCATTGGAAGGTCACAATAACCTTCCCCAATCTGGTGCTCCACAGATGCATCAGAAGCCTAACTCCTATCATTTTCCTGTGACTGGGAATTTAAAAAAAAAACCCTGTCATTTCAGGAGTTTATTAAATTTGGGAAGGTTGTCCAATGGGAAACAATGACCTGCTGTGAGAGGCGTGGACATTTCTTCTCTCTCTTAATAAAGCAAAAGAAAATATCACATCTCAATTTCACGCAGGGGGTTAGCAAAAGGCAATTCCCTGTATTATTTCATTCAAACCTACTTTACTGTACAGCGGATGAAAGAAAAATGCTTGAGGAGCAACACGGTGGTACCTCCTAGGCTTCATCGTACCTGTGTCCTGTCCTTTCAGAGCACAGGATGCATATTCATACAAAAATGGAATCGGATGAACATCAGTAATTTTCATGGTAAGGAACTGCTCTAAAATTTCCTAGTACGTTTGAAAGCTAGGACGTTCTTTACAAACAAGGCCGTGAAAGGAGGAGGCAGGCAGGCAGGCAGGCAGGCAGACTGCTATTGGAAGAAAAGTTAATCAACAAAGGTCTCAGGGCTCTCTTTAAGAATTGGTGGTTGTTGTTGTTTCAGAGAAATAAAGCATAGGGAAATTGCATTCCGGTTGCCACATCAACTGCCTTCGCTTCAAGCAGACAGTTCTTCCCTTTCGCCTAGCTGTCAGTCCCTGTTGTTCTATCTTCTGGGTTTTTTTTTTCTTCCCCTTAAAAACATGTTTCCCTCTAGTCCCAGAAATTCCAGCACTTTGGGGTTCCCAGACAATCTTTCCCTTTTTCGGAGACTTCCTTGCCAACAGCCCACCAAACTTAGTAAAAGGGATTAGCATTCTTTACCGTTCCATGCAAGGAAACAGAAACACCACGAGAATTTTCAAGACTTCCTTTGTGCTCTTCAGTAATTGGTTAGCTAATCCTGAAAGATACTTTGCATTACTGCCAAGTGGTACTCTGTGTGTGTGTGTGTGAGAGAGAGAGAGAGAGAGAGAGTGCCAGAGATGGAGCCCAGAAATTGTTGGTCACTGCTGTAAGAGCTTCTCACCCATTTTCCTCGAAATAATTAAGTGTAACTTAAAGGACAAACACACTTTTGCCTGCCTCAACCCATATCCACAATATGGAGCCCGTCAAATAATAGGCATATCGAATTACAAATTGCTTATTGAAGATATACAGATTTCTCCAATTAACTTGCCAGCATACATTTTACAGGATTGGTGTCAGAAAAAGTCACTTTGAGGTCATGAGATGTACTGCATTTAACTCTTAGCAGAATGTCAACAGCTAAGTAAGTGCTGAGAAATCGAAGTGCGTAATTTGCCTTGACTAAAAGCCCATTACATCGCCTGAGGTACGTCATGATTTCCCAGCCTTATTTCTGCCTCCCTCTCCCTGGAGATCTGGTACCGAAGGTTATAATAAATATCAACGACACTATCTTTATAAAGTATCTAAGATAACTGTAAGATGCAGTTTTCGAATGTTATTTATTATCTTAATTTTGCCATTTGCCCAACTCAGTGAAGGCTTTTCATGCCTGGAAATCTTTCCAGGAAAGACAGTTCAATTGGAGAAGCTCATTGTCATTTTGTCTCCCTTCCCACCCCCTCCCCCTCCACAATGCATTTTTCACACAGTCTCCCTTTTTACACAAACACACCCATTCCGGTTAGTCAGGCGCAACATTCTCATGCTTTCAAAGTGTTGCTCGCACACCCATCGTTTGTAGAGTGCCAGCCCTTGAAGTGAGAAAACTGCATTTGAAGTCCCTTTTTTTTTTACTCTGAAAACCATCACAATGATTTACTTACTGCCTCCCTCCCTCTCTCACTCAGTCAGCAAAAGCCTCTGTCTGCTTGGCAAAAGAAAGGGGAAGGCCGTGAAATAGACAAGGCTGCAACATATGCAATTAAAAAAACGGCTTTAAGATGAGCACAGAGTAATATTGGCCAAATAAAATCAGCGTCAAGGGGTGCCTTTTTCCACAAGCCCCTCTCTCAGGGCAAGCGTACAGTCGTCCTAGTAAACCCTCCACCCCATAGGTTTAATGTCCATGGAAAAGTGCAACTCATGCTTAAATAAATGCCTTGCTCCTTTCCAATCACTGTTCAAATGCGGCGTTATAGGAAAATTGAAGGCCCCAGAATTTGCTTCCTTTTGGCCTCGTCTATCTCTAAAGCTCTCCACAAACGCACACAGCATTGGCTCTCTATTATAATTTCTGATGATAAATTTCCTTTGAGCTGCCTCAGGATTGTCATACTACGGAAACATTACCCTTAATTTAAAACTTGGAGAAAAAATAAGAAGCGGTGGAGAAAACTCAGGTGTTGAGAGAGAAGATTTCTTTGCCAAAATGCAGAAGACGGTAGCTACTGCTTTTTTAGGTGGTTCTTAGGGGTGATTTCCTTTTCATAGAAACGTAGAAAACTGATAGCAGAAAAAGACCTAGTCAGTCCATCGAGTCTGCCCTTTGTGTTTATTTTTTTAAATTTTGTTGTATGGTGGACATGTGTTTATCACAAGCATGTTTAAACTCAGTTACTGATGAATGACGACCCTTTACCTCCACTGGCAGTTGATTCCAAGCTTCCATTACTCTTTCCGGGAAGTACATACTTTTTAACATTACTTTTAAACTTTCCTCCTGTCAGTGTGAGTTTATGTCCCTCTGTTCTTGATTTTTGCTTAATATTGAAAATATTGCCTTCCAGAACCTTATTCACCTTTATATTTAAAGGTTTCAATCATCTCTCCCCTTTCCCTCCTGTCCTTCAGGCTATACATATTCAGTTTCTCCAATCTCTCCCGAAAAATTTGTCCCTCAGACCTTGCACCATTTTTGTTGCTCATCTCTGGAGTCGTTCAATCTTATTAATATCTTTTTTTTTAAAGTGAGGTCTCCAGAACTAGGCACAGTATTCCCAAATACTTCCACATACTCCCAAATACTTTTCAGTTCCCAGTGGGGCCTACCACTCCCGGATTTCCTGACTGCTTCTGAATTCTTACCCCGGAGGGCTTGGAGAAGTAAGCAGAGGGATTGACCTAGATGTAATGAAAGCAGCAAAGGAGAGGAACAAACTAGATGTAATGAAAGCAGCAAAATGTTCTGCCCAGATGTTTGCATAGACGGGAAAAGTTGGAGATCAAATGCATACAATTAAATGAGTCACCAGCTGGCAAGAGAGATGTTTTTCTTCCTCATCCATCAGACTTTTGTGGATTTTTTTTTCTATTGCTCCTATACTAGAAAACATAGCCACAGACACTCATAAGCATGCACCCCTACCCAATCCCCTCCAAATATTATGGGATAGAAGCAGGAATAGTGAAGGACATTCCAAGGGGAAATTTTTTTGCAAAAGAACTATAATGACATATTTCATATTAGGATGGAACACGTATTTTATCACAAGGAAGCTCCGTTGATTTTCATGGGGAATGTGTTTGGGATTGTTTCAGGACAGAGGATCAGTAAAAGGATGGGAAGTGATTTACCTGTCAGCACTTTGTATGCACCCTCCCCCCAAAAGATTTTATTACATGAAAATTTGGATAGTGACCCGTCTTAAAGCTGCCACCGTTCTAGTTTACTGGCAAGAATCTTTGCAAAACCCACAATATTCCTTTTTTGGTTCACTTACCTGAGGCAAATTTCCCAAGTTTCTGCACTTTTGTCAACACTTGCTGTACATCCTTGATGCTGGTGTCCTTCTGGCTATACATTAGCAAGCGTTTGGCGTCAGTGAACAATCGGTAAACACTGAAGAAAGGAAGGCAAGAGCAAGAGAGAAGAAACAAAAGAAGAAAAATATTAGTCGCCATGAGAGAGACGGCTTCAAATATCCCCCAAAGGGATCCTAAAATATTTCTATATCCACATTTACTTTGTGTCTGACATTATTGGGCGCTATTCTGCTAAGTGAACACTATCATATTCCCACAAGCACTTGTTTACAAATTGTTTCTAAGTTTTGCTTCTGAGCACAGGGAGACATCTATTAATTGAATTGGCTTGGTTTTGCAAAGCAAACTAGGAGATATGATTGGCTGGTTGGTGGTTCAGCTTGTCAGGCAAACACAGCCATTCCCTCAGTTTCTTAAGAGAAGATAGGCAATGTGTCTTATCTCCAGGCTCACGAATGAAGTGGAGTAGAGGGCATAGCCTTCTTGAAGCTACAAGCAAGAATTTGCCGGATGAATATCAGGGAAGAAAGCTTCTTTGAAGTCTTTCTGATTAAGCAATGGTCTTTGCATACCCACCAAGCTTACGGAATAGAGAATAAGGGAGATAACCTTGTTGGAAATGTACAGGAAGCATCACTTAAGCACAAGAGGCTGAAACATTTCTTAGAACAATGAGGTAATATCCAGACATGACTCAGACAGACGGCTTCCTAATTCACTTCAACTATACAAAGGAGGAGGAGGAGGAGGAGGCACAGACTTGCAAGATGGTTGTTATAATAGTCCAGATATGTCAAACTCACGATGTCACGTGACATCGCGCAACGTATCGGGACGGTTTTGCCATTGCCGCCAGTGGGGTAGGCGTGGCTTCCGGATGATGCGTCCGGCCTGTGGGCAGGCAGTTTGACACCCCTGTAGTAGTCCATCTCAATAAAAATAGCTTAAGCCTTCCTGTAGCGTTAACTAATTTTTGTCCTGCCATTATTATTTTTACAAATAACTCTCAAGGCAGAGAACATATTCAAAACGCCTCCCGCCTCCTCTTTTCCCCACAACAACAACAATCCTGCGAGGTGAGTTAGGCTGAAAGAGAGAGAGAGACTTGCCCACGTTCACCCAGCTGGCTTTCATGATTAAGGCAGAATTTGAACTCATGGTCTCCTACTTCCTAGCCTGGTGCCTTTACTAGATCAGGCTCTTTTCTGATCTGGACTACCTAAAGGGGCTGACAAAGCATAAACAGCCATCTCTCCCTATGCAAAGGGCAACATAGGCCCCAAAGTTTCTTGGTAGCCCTCAATGGTAGAGGCATTTTGTGACATGCAAAGGATATTCTAAGTAGGTGCTTGCTTTCTTTCAGCCTAAATAATTTGCCTTGCATTACATTTTCCTTAT